AAAACCCGGTACAGCTTATAATTCCCAAATAAATTCATCTTTAAAAATTCATTCAGAATACAGGATGTCTTCTTAGAAGACAAACTTCCCAATGCTTCCCTGGCACACAGTCCATTTTTAATTTAGACCCTAGTACTACTGCCTACATCTTAAACCATTGGCTCTAAAAGATACGACTAAAGTAATAGTGTTTAATTGATGCTTTTAAAAATAATGGTGTTACCCTCCTATTATCTTGTTTTGAGTTTTTATTTTTCCCTCTAAAATAAAAATAAAAATTAAAATAATGGTCATTAATTTTAAAATGGCAATGACTACTGTTCCATTTCTAAATTTTGATAAACTACCAGATCCAAAAGAAAATATTACACACCAAAGAATTCCCCAATCAAACTGCCTCTTGAGCAGCTGCCTCATGGATGTCATGCAGCATTTCTTTTCTGCACCTAATACCTTAGGTAAACATGTTCTATCAAAATCCAGTGCAGTTATAATCGCCACTTGACTTTATATAAGAAAATAAATAGGTATTGCAAACACGAAAGTCAAGAATTTATCTCATGTTGTCTGTAAAGAAAATCATATCTACAGAGACTTTCAGTACATTAAAAATAGAGACACTGCTGTTAAAATTTATAGTATTAATTATTTTTGTGTTCTAGAAGGTGAGTCCATTGTAATAGACAGGCTATATTAACCAAGTGCCCAGAATATGGAAGTCCCAAGAGAAATGGTGCTATTGCAGTAGCCAGTTAAGAGCCCTCTAGAGCAAAGACTGGAAAAAGTTAAGAAAATGTTCTTTTAGTTCTCTTATGTAACAGTGAGAGATGAGACAAAACAAAGAACATAGGTTGTGAAATGAGAAACCGTCCTCACCCTCACCTCACTCTTTTCTCCCTTTAGTCCTGTGTTGGTGACCTCTTTTTTAAGTGTCCATTATCAGCTCCTCTACAAGACCAGACTTTGAAAGTGACAGGAGATGACCCCACCCTTCTGAAGAACCAGGGGGTTTTAAAGCTTTGAAAATGAAAATTTCTCCTACAGCAGCAGAACTGAGAAGGGCAGTGACCCTCAACTTAGCTCACTCAACCCAGAAAATGTGTTGTAGAGAGCCACCTTCGTAGCTCGCTTTATCGTATCTGCACATAAACCCATCCTGGCACCGAAAGAGCTATTCGCTGTTTCCATGAAATAGCTTGTACAGAAACCTCTATCTTGTTAATCATGCTGATGTTGAAAGACTGACTGCCATTTCTCCCAGATTACAGAAAATAAATACATTTTTCTGCATCAGGAAAGCATACTGGTAGTAGCAACTCATGCTTTATAATTGCAATGAGAATGCTATTCAGTTTGAAGGCTGCATCCTAAGAGGTCCCTCTGGTTTGCAGTTGGCAGAATATCAGCTGTTTCAATACAAGCAACGGATTGCAGAATATGAAACCAATTACTTCCATCCTGCCTCTACTCAATTCTTCTGCTCTTGGGTGCCTACCCTCTACCCTCTCCGGGGGAGAAGATGAGCAGACGGATACGAGCAGGTGCACAGGACTGTACGCAGCCGCTAGCCCTGGGAGCAATCGATCAATACCCTGGAAGCTAGTTAAAGTCTTAGTAAATGGTTCCAAACCCTAGCAGATGGTCTATTGGTCCCAGGCAGGCTGTTCAACATCTATATGACTCCATACAAGGAACTGAGATCTTGGAATTAGAAGAGTTTCTCTTCAGTATATTCTATTTAATATGTTATTATTTTAATCTCTAACTAGGGTTTTTTCTTCATCATAGAGACTTTAGCCTTTTCTATTTTTCTTCCCTGGTAGAATGACAAAAAAGGGGTTGGAGTCTATGCAGTTTAATCTCAAGAAGCATTCGAATGTTTTAACTTTGCAAGTAAGGAGGCATATAGTTAACAATGTCCACTCCACAAAATACCAGCTGAGTTACCATTGCAGCGGAGTTTTAATATTTTTCTTTAAGAGGATAACAAAGTTATCATTACAAAAGAAACTTATATGAATGAGGCTTTTCTGATTTCTGTACATTTTTAACTACATTTCATACTTCTGAGAATTTCCTAAACACTATGGAAGTCAACATCAAATGGATGCCAGAATGTTTTTTTATTTTTCCCATTTACATTTAGTATTCTTCAGATCTTCATATTCCACTCTCTCTCTCGCTTCCTATTTTCATCCACACCTCCACTTCTTTTGTATTGCTATTTTTTTAAAAATAAAAAAGCTACTTCAAAAGTTGATGTACAGCAGTCATGCTGCTAAATGCCCTGTACATTTGTGCTTGTATCCTCTGATGAGGCACTGGAGTTCAGCTACTGAAATTCTAAGAGAAGGTGAGTTGCCTCTTTGGTTTGAACCTTGTGTCCAGATCACCTGGTGCTGAGATAGTATTCACCAACCCCGAGTTAGAAATTCTGAGTCACAGGGAAGCATGTGGGGCACAGAATCAAAACGCTTCTTCATAGTGATTCTCCTGAAGATGTTCCCAGGGTCCTACCCTTCCTTCTGACTGACAGAGTGTTTGGGGTTTTATTTTAAGATGGGAGAAGTCTCATCTATTTGATTAATGGACAGTCAATCTGAACATTTTCCGTTTTCCAAAACATAGCATGAAAGTTAGAGAACTCTTATGTCATTCTTAACTATGACTTTCCAGATGCCCACTTGAGAAATAGCTACATGACCCCAAATTACTATGTATTGCTGCTTTGTCTCTGGTAATCAAGTGAAATTGCTTTTGGCTAGGATGTTTTAATTATATAAACAAACAAGGAAAATTATATAAACCCACAAGGAAGCATGAACAGGGAATGGAGCCCAGTGAGACTCACACTGAACCTTCTCTTTCCTTGTCCAGGGTGGGGAAGGAAGGGGAAGTAAAAACGATTAAGATGCAGTATGTACATGTACCAACATCCCCATAAGGAGTGTAATTATTATATATCTCCAATATTTACTAATAAGTAGAGGAAGCTGTTAACAAAGATTGTTCAGTAGCTACTTCTGTGGGTTGAATCGTGTTTTCCCTTCCCATCTTCCTCACCAAATTCCAACTCCTATGTTGGTTTCCCAACTCCCAATATTTCAGAATGAGACCTTAGTTGGAGACAGGTTCTTTACAGAGGTGATCATGTTACAGTGAAGCCATCAGTGTGGGCCTCATCTAATACTACCGTATTCTTATAAGAAGCGAAATTTGGAAGCAGAAAACTCTTACTAGAATCCCATATGAACACAGACAGAGCCATATACAAGCCAAGGAGAGGCCTGGAACAGACCCTCCTCTCAAAGCCCGCAGAAGAAAACACCTGTTGGAACCTTGACTTTGGATTTTCAACCTCCAGAATGATGAGAAAATCAACCACTGCTTGAGTGCTTGGATCTCTGGCGCTCTGTTAAAGCAGCCCTAGTTAACTAATACAGCTACTCTTCATTTCCTCCTTCTAGGAACAAAACTTTCAATTTTTCACATTCTTTAAACTGTACATTATTGCTAAGGATAACATATGCATCTATATTCATTTCATATTTGATTTCTTTACAAAGTCATGCGTCTCTTTAAATGGCAATGTCTTGAATCTGATAACAAAAGTGCACAGCAGTTGGATAGGCAGAGAACCACCTGAAACAGGCTTTACAGTTTCCAACCAAAGGAACAGAGGCAGGTAGAAATTAGAAGGCTTTTCAGGTCTCCCAGTTACTGGTGAAGATTGGCACATAGCTCTCACTCTCACTATTTCTCTATTTTTCTTCAAAACCACCCTTAGCTAGTAGCCAAGGATCATGTGCCATTAAAATGATTTTCCCATTAAAAAGTTATTCAAAGTCAGGATAATATAAACAGATGCTAAGATTAAAAAAAATAGTTTACCAAAACCATATTCTACAAAGTCCTCACAGTTGTGTATTCTTGATCAGACTGTAGACATTTCTACTACTACATGGTAGACATTCTGTACCATTCTGAGATAAGCACAGAAACTGCAGGGGGCTCAATATCCCAGCCCATGGAAACATAAGAATTTTCTTTAGAGTTCTGCATGTCCAACCAGAGGAAATCATTCAGAAGGCCACAGGTGCATTTGTCAACTCTCAACAAAAGTTTTTCAAAGTTGTACCGCACATACTTAAGTAGTATTCAAAGAAAAAGTATGATTTTAATCCAAATTCAATTAATATTTACTATAAATTAATATTAGATCTTTTTTGCTTCTTTTCTTCTTTAATTATTTTCTGTGATCTTTAGTTTATTCTCTGAGGAGACTCCAGGTAAATAAAGTAGGAGTCATAGCGCTCATCACGTCCAGCCAGGTTTCTAAGTGCTTTACATATACACCTTTCATGTGTTCAACCACTCACTACCCACATGGAGGAGAGAACTTTGACTGTTCTCCCTGAAAGGGCAGAACTAAGATGAACTGGTGTAAATTACAACTAAACAGATTTTAAGTGAAAACAAAGACTTTAAACAGAGTTACGATGCGATAGAATTTGGGGAAGGGCTTCAGCATCAGTCATTTAGTGACACACTGAGCATAGGTTATCTGAGGGACTTTGTGACAGGGAAACTTCAGGCAATGATTGGGCAGACCAATGGCTTTCATAGCCGTGTCCATTGTAGAAGTTCATGGTGCTCTGAGCTCAGCAGTAATCCCATAAAACTCTTACCCCAACTAAGGCAAGCCTCATTCTTTCACACTCTTGACAACCTTAGTATTTGGCACGCTGTGTCATTTACTTAATCAGCATACATTTAGAAAAACCAACGATAGGACATCAGTCACGGTTCACATAGGTCAAGGCTCAAGTTAGAATATTTTCTTTGCTACTCCTTGTTAGTATTAAATACTTGTTACTGCATGAGGTAAGACCCGGAATTGTCTTGCAATCATCAAATAAAGACAGAATTATTTTAGTTCATGGAATTCTTTTCAAAAGAGCTAAAAATCGCAGTACCTCACAACACAATAAAAAACCAACCTCTTTCATTTTTTCCAGCTCATTCTGTAAGGCTTGCTTTGCAATTTCAACCTCTATAAGCTGTTGCCTCAGTTTCTCATTTTCATCCTCTGTAGTTGTTCTCTTTTCTTCCACGTTTTCGAGCTCATGGTGAAGTCTCACAGACACGTCCTTGGCAACCTATGATAAAGAGTTCGCAAGATAAAACTCTCTTCTTCATAGCGGAAGCAGTAAGAGCCAGCACTTACAAAGTGCTTTTCGTGCCCAGCCAGGGTTCCAGGCGCTTTCCATATAAACCACTCGTACATATTAACCACTTGCTACTCACAACAATTCCATGAGGCAGGCACTGTAACTACTTCTGTGCTACACAGGAGGCTAAGTCTGAGAGGTGAAGTAATACACTCAAGGTCACCCAGCTAACAAGCACATATGGGGTCTGGCTTTAGAATTCTTTCTCTCAGCTTCTATGCTGCACCATGGCAATAAACATTCTACTGCACTAGAACACATTTTGAGAAATTATACCTGTCTGCTAATTCTATGAGAAAGCTATGATGCAGAGTCTTCCATTGTTTGCATTAAAGAATAGAAAAAAGAGGGTTTTTGAAGTGGGGATGTGTGGCTTAAATTTTGATCTTAAACTGTGATCTACTTCTCAGTATTGAGATTTAGGAAACGCATTAGCCCCTAAGACTAATTACTTTCAATAACTGCATTTTTGATCCAAATTTTGAGATTATCTTGGAAATTTTAGAGTTTGGAAGAGAAGAGGAACATTCTGGCGTAGAAGGTCAGGATGCAAGTTGTCTCCATACACTGGTTGGACAGTGAGTCTGGCTACCTCCCAGCAGTGGATTAAGCCGATGTAAAAATCACAGCCTCTGCACCTGTAAGGTGGTCCCATTAATAACCTCTACTTCATATTCTTTTACATTTTATGATACAGTGATGTATGCAAGAATGCTTTCCATAGCGCCTAGTACATAATGAGCATGTAACATCCAACAAATGCTAGGAAACAGGAAAAAATAAGACAGTAATGACTTTCACAGAATACTCTCGCTCTCTTTAATTCTAGCTTTTCTTTATAGTTTGATGAAGTTAATACGATTGAAATGTATTTGATGGTCTCCGGTGGGGAATGCAATGTCTGGTTTGCACTATCAGTGAATCTGCCTATAGTCAAACTGAACGTAGAGACTACACCTATCTCATCTAAAATTGCACGTCATAGTTGGGATGTCTCCCTCGGGAGAGATCAGGAAGGAGCAACCTTCATTTGTTTCACTCCTTCTCCAGATAAGCCACAGCTTGGGCAGTGTTTTCCTTCCCGGGAGTTACTGCAGTGCTTGAGTGTAGAAAGGACAGAGTTTGTGTGGGCAGCGGAAGGTAGAAAACGTTGTAACTCTCATTATAGTGCTGCTCCTATACTGGGGATCAGGTCCTCTGCTCCTGTGCCGGATTCCACCTGCCTCCCTGGAAAGGCCGACACCGGAGGCCAGTCCGAGCTGGAGCTGGCTGGGCCACGCCCGTGGTCTGCCCTGGAGCAGGCGCCCTCTTCCCACCACTTCCGGAAGAGCCACGTACTTCCAGGACAGCCCCCCGGACACCCGCAGACTTGGTCTCCACCACACACTGTTCTCTCCGCGTACAATGCACTCTTTCCACCCACCTGTCAGTCCTTTCCAGGCTTTTGACATTTTGTGATCAGCGCTGCGAAAACCCGTGTCCCTAAAGCTCCTGGCCAGTCACCGCTGACGGAGGAGCCCCGGCCCGAAGCGCCCCTCGCTCCCCGCGCGCACCTTGAGGTCCTGCTCCAGGCTGCGCAGCAGCTCCCCGTCGATCTCGCCGGTCTGCGCGTAGCGGAGCCGCTTGCGCTCGGCCTTGCGGAGGCGGTACTGCAGGATCCGGCAGTTCTTGTTGGCCCGCTCCAACTCGTGGCGCATTTCCTGCAGCTGACAAGCATCCTCCTCGAAGAAAGTGTCCCTCATCTCGTCCATCTCGGTTCTCAGCTCATCTATCTCGTTCTGGGGCGGTGACACGTGAAAAGGTCGACAGTCAGCTGGGCTTCCCGCCCCTCGGACACAGCGTGCGCACCCCATCCATCCCAACGTGAAATCTTTTTTGGGGGGGCGGGGGGCTTTTGCCTGAGACAGGAATGACAAGGAGCCGAAAGAAGAAACTAGAAAAACGGGCCCCTTTAGGCCTTCACTTGCTGCCTCGCTCGGGCTTGCTGTATGTAAAAGCAGCACAGGCCATGACTAGAGAATCCAAGGCCCAGATTCGCGTTCAGTGAAAGCGGGCTGTCTCCCACCCCGACCAGGTCTAGGACCCCCTGCCCCCAATCTTTAACCCAGGCCCCCCACAGGCCAGCAGCCCCGCACCCCAGGACACGCCCTGGCCCTCCGCGCCCCGGCGCCCTCACCTTGAGCGTCTCGTTCTCCTCCCGCAGCTTCTCCATCTCCTCCTGCATCTCCTCCTGCTCCTGGAGCA